TCTACTGTTTTGTTTTCTGGTTCTTGTTTGACCTTTGGAGTGAATGAAGTGGCATTCCTTCATAGGATTAAATGTTATTGGCTTTGTTTGCTGTAACAGGATTGCATAGGACTCTGTTGCTGGGCTCGGAGGATGCTCAGCAGTCCACCATCTGTGCTCATAGAGTCACAGCTTGAGACGTGAATTTTAATTCTCCCCAAGTGTTTATACTTCTCTAGCATGTACGGTGTATGTACACTAGTATCTGGTGTACCGGGTCACTCTTTTGGTAAATTCACCTTACCTGGATGTGTGGATATCAGCGATGTTTCTCCTCTCTGACCCACAGAGTGCAAGCTTAGGCTTTTCTGTTTCAGAGAAATACTTTGCCTCTTTTATTTCAGTAGGTTCCTAATCTTTACATATCTGCTGAGGCTTTTTCTGATTGTTTATATCCACAAAATGTTTTGTGGTAAATATAACTACAGCAAACTCTCAGGCTAACGCGTTTTCCTCATATTTTACTTTAATATATTCCCTGAAAGCAGGATCTTCATACATCGTGTTTGGCACCTAAAGTCAGTTGATTGTGTAACTGAGGGGAAAAATAAATACCAACCCACTTATTAAATAGTCCTTTTATTTCGCGGCTGTCTCTGCTTTATTTTTTCAACATTTACCCTTTTAATTGCTCCTGAACTGAAAATTGATGGCATGACCTGATAATAGAAATCAGAAATAAATGTTGATTTTAGCACACGTTAAATAAAAGAAGTAGAGCGCAACAGGTTTGATTTTACTGGGGATGGACCGATCATCTCGTATCGGCCGATACCGATTTTTATTTTTATTTTATTTATTAAAGAATAGTTCTTTAAACAGAAAGTTTTTAGTTTGGTGCATTTTTGAATAACTTAACACATTTCAGGATTCCCATCATTTATCAGTAGTTTAAATTTTCAGGTTTTGCTGATGACGGCATGATTGCGTTGCTTCATTTCTGAGCGTGGAAATCCTTGTACAACTATCACCTCCCCTTTTTCTTGCATATAGTAACATAAAATAGGTTTTAAATGAACCAGATTAATGTGTTGCGTCTTTAGTTTTATGTGTGAACGGTAATGACACAAACGAACGTTATCTCTCTCTCTCTCTCTCTCTATTGGAGGCTCGCAGGGAGGGGAGACGAAGCCGTCTTGTCAAAGGGGCTTTGTTGGTAATTTCACAACAATGACTTTCATGCTTTAAAAGAAATGTTATGCAAGTCTTGCTGCATGCGTAAGGATCGGACAGACTTCAATTTCACCAGCAATGCACAGCGGCATTGTAGCGGTGCTTTTGAATTCGCCATTGGTTGTGTGGGTTTGCCTCTTTTGTTTTCACGCTGACACTTGCTTGCATTCTTCCACAGTTTGCCATCTGTGAATGTATCTGCACCGACTCTTGTTTCAGTGGATCTGGGCTGCCAATCTGGGTCGCCATTGTTGGGAGCAAGTCACGTGTGTCGGGCTTTTTGCTTGTGTTGCAGAGCAAACTTGATGGTCTTTGAGTTTCCCTTATTTGGGAGCCTCTCGTCAACCCATGTCTGTCCATCCATCCGTCATGCTGCTTATCTTGCTTTTCCCCCCCGTCTGGATCAGATTGAAATACTTTACTGAAACACCCAGCAACACTCTTTACAAGCAGACCCGGTTCACCGACCATTGGCGATGACGGCCGTGACACGAGCTGCTCTTGGTCGAGCAACAGGCCCACATGTGACCCAGCTCAGAGTAACTGTGACTCTGTGGAAGCCAAAGCTGATTATGGCGGCAGTCTGTCCTGGCGGCCCGCCTAAAGAGATCCACTTCACTTCAGGTCACGAGTCACTCAGCGAAGCCATTTATTGGGCTCGGTCATTTCCAAATCACTCGTAAGCACATCGAGGTTTTCATATCGAGCGCCGCTTTTGGAGGACGGGATTTAACCGGGCATGCCGAAAAATAAAGTCATTTCATTTGGGTTTGATTGGTAGAGTCTTTCAGAAGTCTTTCTTTTGCACAGTTTGTCCATTTTAGTCACTATTCCTTGTTGTAGGGAGTTTTAATTTAATGATGTGTAAAAACATGTCTGTAATAAAGATACCTGCTGGTCGCGGTAGCTTTAAAAACCACTTTCCTTCACTGAGGCCTTCGTAATACTATTTAACTGTCAATTGTAGATGTTGCAGATCTATTCAAGTAGGTCGTAATTACTTTTTACTGATTGTGCAATCAGCGATGATTACTCTGCGTTATGTGATGGCGCAACAGCAGCCGATCCAAGTATTGCAGAGGAATATTTAATCTTGCCTTGAAACATTTGCGTCCTTTGAATTGTTGATTTTAGACTCCAGCATTTTAATTTTCAAGCATTTTAAGTATGAAACTTGGAAAGCCTTTTGATCTGGCAGAGTATTTGTTTTAGTGAGTTTAATGCCATTGTGCGAGCAGAATGGGGATAACGAATCCAGTTCTTTTTTGTATGTCTGCGGTAACTCGTATGTAAGTTTAATGTTTCACACTCCCAAAAGCAAAAAGCTCGAGTTAATTTGTTTAGTCTGACTGCCACAGTAAGCTGGTTGTTTGACCTGCTGCTTTGTTTCTGCTAATAAATGTCTGATAAAACTCAGCAGGTATAATAATTAATGTTTAAATATTCTGGAACAAATCTTTGCAGCTTTTTTTTTTTTGTTTTGTTTTTTTCTTCCTACAGTCAGAACCAGTATTTGAAACGAGGCTTTCAATAGCTTGCTTTGATCTACAGTGGGGGGAACAAAAACATTATGATGACTGATGTGCCACTCATTTATTAAAGAGTTTTGTGATTTTTCTAAAAATTGTGAATTAAAAAAAAGAGGATAATTTAAAAAGAGTGGGACCTTGAAAACACATTTCATTCTGTCAATCAAAAATAATTAACTTCTGGAGACATTTTTTTTAAACTTCGGATGGATTATGTCACGGTGCAGCATCCCATGTAACATTTGGCAATGTTGTGCTGCGGTCGATCATTTCCTGCCATTGATTGTGTAGGCTGCAGCGGCAGGTTATTGTTGCTGTCTGTTTGGTGCATGCATGGATGGTTGAGTCAGACCCAATCATTCGTATGGGACGTTGTATGCTGCATTAATTGGATAGGCATAGTGAGCATTCATTTGTGGCTTAAAAATCAATAAGGACAACTTTTTTTTTTTTTATGTGCCTGAACTGTCATTAAAAAGTTTTATCCTAAAGAGCGAAGCAGGTGTCAATCCTGATAAAAGTTTTAGGTGAGATGATGTTGATCTGGATGTATGAAAAAGAAAAATATTTCTTTCTAGCTTTCATTTGTAGGTAAAGAAATAGTTTGTTTGGTTAAATCAAACAGATATGAGCTAGGAAATTATTATGGGCCCCAACACCATTGCTAAAATCTTTAAAACATTTATTATTTATCCATTTATTTACCTGATTTGTGACGTAGGGCTGCAAAGTTTGCAAAAACAAGTCTGAAAAGTCTGCATGTACTGCTAACAATCTTTGCAAAGTGGAACACCGACATACCAGCTCCTGTTTTGATATGCTTTGTTGATCATGTGATCAGTGGATTGGGTCCAAAACACATTTTGCAGAACTAGTTTTTCACCTATTTTGGAAACTTGGTGTGTTAATTTGGAAATCTTTCTTCTTTGAGTTCAGTGTTACAGCAACATGCTGTACTCAGGTCTGTCTTACATGCCTGAGAAACTCGCATCAGAGAGCTGCAGCAGCCAAAGAGGCCTGTTTTTTTTTTTATTTCCACTGCGAAGGTTGAATTAAAACATTAAAGCACCTACATTTTTCCCCTGATTTGGTCAGCCTCAGAAATACTACAGGTTTTCACATTTTCCGGTGGGTTACATTTTATTTCTCAAATTCTGCAATGTCTTTTGCATCACGACAAAATAAAGTATAGAAAAATGTTTGTATTTAGACATTCAAAAGTGATTAATACTATTTAATAAATGATTAAACTAGTAATCTGTTAGTTTATCCATCCACCCACCCATTGGTTTGCTTATCCATCCATTCGTCCGTCTGTCCATCCAGTAGTTTTTGTAGCTTCTACATTTATAGCCTCGCTACTGTTTCCTTGCACACAATTTCTTGTCAACTTTTGCCTATTTTTATTATGAGAAAATGCGGTAAGAAGGCCTGAGACCTCTAGAAATATAAATGCAAAAAAAAAAAAAAAAAAGTCTTCAAAAGCCACACAATATACACATTATTCAACAACAATGTCACAAATGCATGTTCTCCTAATGTGGCGCAGCCTGGATTAGGTCAGTCATTATATCTCTGCTCCTCAGTCTGTTGTCACCAAGTGTTAGCGTCACGTCTGCAGATCAGTAGCCCTTTAACGCCATTGTTCCCTCTCGTGGTGGAGGCAGGGCATATTGACTGTAAGAGTCACTCGCTGCAGCTTTTCCTGCTGTCTGCAGCCGGGAGGCTTCCCATGCAGACAAGCGGACAAGAACCCCAAACCTGACCTTGTCTTTATCATCTACTTGTTGTTTGGTCTGTTGCAGCTAACTAAACAAAAACAGTGAATCTGTCTTTTGAATGTTAAATATGTGGGAAAAAAAAAAAAAAACCCTCTCAGTTAGTATTATCTTGAAATAATCTGGTCTCCTTTCTGGAGGTTGAAAGATACTAGGGAAGAGGGTAGACGTAACACAGAAAGCGTTTTAATTCTTCTGCAGCGATGCTCGCGCCCGCTCCTCGTCGGCTCCCTGCTTTCTGCTGCAGGTTGTCTCTCCACTTCTAAAAATAACATTAAAAGCATCCCTAACCTCATTAAAAATGCATCCACGCCGCATGGGGGGGAGTGGGGGGATGGAGGAGGTAAAAGTCATTCCTGCATAGGAAGAAACTTGTTAAAAAAAAAAAAAAAAGATCTGAATATGTCCACTTCTACGATCAGCTTATTGTTTTGTCGTCGTCGTTTGTCGGCTGATGTTTTCTCTCTCTGCTTCCTCGCAGTCAATAAGCACAAGCCGTGGATCGAGACGACGTACCATGGGATTGTGACGGAGAACGATGACAAGGTTATTCTGGACCCGCCTCTAATTGCGCTGGACAAAGACGCTCCTTTACGCTACGCAGGTGAGAGAGAAAGCTTAAACGCTGCCGCCGCTCGTTCGCCAGTTCATGACCAGCCCCGCTGTTGAGATCACCTTCAGGTCGTAAAATGAAAGAGAAAGCGATGTCACAATGCTCCTTTATGCAAAACAGCCGCGTGACTCACAGATGTAGATAGTCGGTATATATTATTTAAAGGCCGACAATGAATTATTCATTTTGTCAAATTCATTATTCTTCCCAAATAAGACAGAAGGACAGCTGTTCTTAACACGGAAGTAGAGCCTCTGATCTATTTTGAGCGCCAGGCTTTGAAATCACAAATGCATCATGGTTAATTTATGAAGGTCTCCCACCCTGCTGCGTGTTTTAATAAGTTTTAATTCTTCCCGGTGATGAATAAATCTGAGATAAACTGTTTGATTTTTTTTTTTTTTTTTTTTTTAAATTTAAAACAGCAGCTGACTCAGCATGAGGAGGTCAGGAACCGTTAAGTCTTACCTTGTTGCTTTAATTATGGTTTCGCTCTCTGCGGTGACACACACACACATGTGATTCAACCATAAGATTTTTATGACTTGCCTTTCATACTGATGGACATCTGGCTGCCATACAGCAAGATTGTCCCTTTTGATTTATCAGATCAGAATGGTTTTTTAAGGTTTTTTTTTTTTTTTGTTCTTCCCAGAGAGGGAGCCACAATTTATGAGTTTAATGGTATGAGGAAAACATTTGCTCCCGGTGTCTCTAATCACATCAGCATTGACTTTAGGTCGGGCCTTAAAGCAGCAGATGAGTTGCACAGTCTTTTATCTGCTTTATTGCTCCTCGTGCGATCGTCTTAATCCAAGAGTACTCGTCTTGAGTTCCCGTTGAGGCTTCAGCTGCCGCGTTTTCAACCAAAAACAGTCGGCATTTAAACGAAGAGGAAGGCGACGGCCACCGCTTAAAGCCGACCTCCGCACTGTCGCTGTTTTGAACGACGAGCCTGCAAAAACAGGGTGAAACGCTTCATCCTCTGCGTGATGATTGTCTCCCTTCACAGCATATTAGTGCTGAATACACATCTTGGTGCGCCCACCTCTTTCAACGGGGGGCTCCCCTTTTGATGAGCGGCATTTATGAACGGACTGTGTGTCCCTGTGAACCGTCTTTCTCTCTCTCTCTCTCTCTCTCTCTCTCTCTCTGTCTCTCTCTCTCTGTCTCTTTGCGAGCAGTCTGGCTTCACGTGGCTGCAGAGCTGATCTGCTCCATCACGCCAGATTCCCTCCATCTGTGCCAACTAAGAGGGTTCCCCATTAAGCCGACCCACAGGCCGCTCA